GGCGGGGCGGTGGGGCGGCGGGGCGGTGGGTGGCCTCGCGAAGGACGGAAATCCTCCCGCGGACCGACCGCGGCCGCTGCGACTCAAAGTCGGGCCGCGGGTCGCCGCCAGCACGTGGCGGCCGCTCTGCGCTCTGCGCCCAGGCCGAGGAGGCCCGCAGCCCGGCCCCCGGGCCCGGCAGGCCCACCGTGACGGAGGAGGGAGGACGGGACCGCACCGCGCGAGACTCAGAAATAAAGCCCACGCGAGCCGTGTCGAGCACGTGTCCGTCCACAGCTTCTCCTCCATCCTCGACTCTGTCTCGTCCAACCCGCAGCCCCAGCGCGCGTCCGTCACGTCACACATTGACGGCGTCGATTGTCTTGCGCGTTTCGGAGGATCACCCCACCACGCAGGTCGCGTCGATAGAGATGCTATAGGGGCAGTGAGTCACGTGGGGTGGGTCACCACGGGAACGAGTTGATATTGAATAGAAGTGAAAAGATTACACGTGACTGGATGTGACCTCACACGAAAGCGTTATGCATTTGGGCTCGCCCGGAGTTCGCCATTCGCCGTTAGAAACCTGCAAAATTCATGGTAAGCTCTCATAGCGCCTGGTAGGTAGGCAACATCTTACCAGCAGCGCATGCGAGTATTGCGGGGTGGCGTACCCCGAGTCTCGCAGGCACCAATCGACGATCTCGTGTAATTTGTCTTGTAAATCCGAGACAAAACGGGTGTTCTTTTGCGACGAATCTTTAAGTCAGTCCAGACAGGGCATAGTTTATGTAGACTTTGTTGCAGAAGCACGTGTAAAAAATAAACATAATACATTCTAAAAAAGTTATGAATAAAATCGTGCATGAGCGTACCGCGTACCGGGTGATTCAGAGAAGACGCAGGTGTGATCGGGTTTGCCTGTCCTCGACTCGGCGGGCGCACGGGTCCCCTCCTCACCTCTCCCCAGACCTAGACCCGTGCGCCCGCCGAGTCGAGGATATGCAAACCCGCCCGCATCTGCGTCTTCTCTGAATCACCCGGTAGGCTTGGACGACCAGCTCACCAAAGATATTGTCACATTTATAATTAGCGGTGTCGTTGGGAGACGAGGATCTATTATGGTGGCCTAATCAGGCTCCTCCGACCACTGTGCGACGTGTCGGGTGCACGTTTCATCTCGGCCGACGACGGCGATCACACCCGAGTCGGGCACAACGCTCAATGGGAAAAGGGGGGGGGGGGTGAGGCGCTTGCCTTGGCCCCCAATATTCATTGTTAACGACCTTCTATTTAAGCAGCATGCCACGCCCGTTAAGATTGACGGAATCCATAACAGCTCCTGCGTTCCTCGGTTGTTTTCCACCAAATTTGATTTTTGAGCAATGAAGCATTCAGGTAAAGGTAAAATGAGAAAGATGCAAGGAAGAAGAGAACTGAAATCACTCTGCTTTCACATGGTGGTCTATCTGACCTGCATCTGCATTTCAGCTTTACCGGAATGCTTTACTCTATTTCCTATCCCTGTAGCGAAGAACTGCGTGGACCTCGGATCAAGCGGCTGAACTGCCTGGATCTCGGATCCAGCGGTTGAACTGCGTGCCTTTTATTGCAAGCAAGGTGTCGATTTCATCATCTAATCTTTGAATCCTTCTTTCTAGGATTTATTAATTTTTTCTCTTATTTTTGTTTTAAAAGTCACTGTCGCTCCTTCACTCCAAGAGATACAGCAGGGCGAGCGAAATTTCCGTCCATTGGCCTATCTACTTTGACGGGTTACCTCACACACAGCAAAATAAAATAATTATGTTTTAATTGAGTTGGTTTTGTCACTGGCTGTACTCGGAAGTTTACCGGGTTAGAGATCCTTTTACAGTACAGTTCCGTTTCTTTTTGTTAGCAAGCGACCCTGAAAATTTCAGGCCCCTAACTTAAAATGTATACGAGTCATCGCGCCTACAGTCGGACAGGCAGGACATACAGGCAGACGCGGCTCTCTTTAGAGTACTGGAGAAATAGGCTTCGCTATAGCTCAGCCAAAATTAAACAAATTTCACGAGGAGGGCCCTTTAGCGTCGTATTTTGGTCTTTAAAACCACTTGCTTTGCCCTGGTGCGTAAAAACGTCCGCTGAATCCGAATATATTGCAACTTTCCTGCAAAGCTATCATGCATGCTGCTCTTTCGGTAATGACATGCGTCCGTGCGCGGGTTGGGCACCAGATATGGACAGTGTGTATTTTACGTACCAGTGTATGGTCCTGTCTACTGGAGCGATGTTGAGCGACTGCTTTCGAGCCCGAAGACGTGCGAGAGACTGGCTTCTAGAACCCGAAGAATAGGCGGTTTCCATCTACGCCCGGCCATCTAGTCTGCCTGACGAAACGATCGGGCTGCCTGGCAGACAGACGCCACTAGCCCAGCGTGCCCGTGGATACGAGAAACGACCGAGTAGGAGGGGGGGGGGGGCGGAGTCGATAGCGCCTTCCAAAATAAATGAAAATAAAGCGAGCTTATGAAATCGATCTGCTGTCTGTGACACAAAGAAGAAGTGCTACAGACTTGACTGTTTCTAGGTACACTGTAAAAAAAACCATCTTAATTTTAATAACACGTGTTTTGAAGCAGTTTACAAAACAAATTTGCTCTTAAATTTAAGAACAAATGTATTATGAAAATTAAGAACATGTCGAGAACATGTTTTGAAAATTAAGAATGTTGGGATCGGACTCGGGTAGGGGTGACAGCACACTACACGTTGGAGCTCACAGGTTTATTCCCTCAGTACAGAACAGATCACACACTACCAATGCACCCAAATAGCCCCCAAATAGTACACATTAAAAACCGGTTTTTAAACAGAGACGTCTGTTCTAGGGCTTTTTCTCATATATTTGTCGCTTATTTTAAAGCAAAGTAGAATTAGATATTAAATGAAAACTAACATATGTGATGGCACGACGACGACGGCACTGGCAACTTGCACTTGCACTTGCTGCACTCGTTCGCTCTGCTCGCGCTTGGCGCTTGGCTTCAGTCGACGACTGCTTGAAAACCGCGGTTCTGATACAGAACCGGTTCGGCGGTTAACCGGTTCGCGAACGGTTTTCGGTTAACCGGTTCTCTTCCGGTTTTCGGCGCATCGGTTTTTTGCCGATCTCTGAACCGGCATGCCGGTTTGGAAAAAAACCGAACCGGAAAACCGGTTAACCGGAAAACCGCCCAGCCCTACCCCGAGTCCCCGAGCCCCTGTACTGGCACCAGGGCGGGCCGCCGGCTCCTGGCAGCTGGTCGGTGCACTCTAAATGTCTAAGGACAATTTTTGTAACTAGCACCGGACTTCTGTGTGCATAACTAGCTCAGATACAATAGTGTAACTACCAACACACATTTAGTGACTAGCAAGTCACAATATTGTATCTGATTCCAGTTATGCACGCAGAAGTCCGGTGCTAGTTACAAAAATTGTCCTTGACATTTAGAGTGTGGGTCTGCCTACCCAGCGCGTCGCAGGCGCCCGCGACCTCGAGCGAGGTGGCGGAGAACTCCCTCGGCCAGGTCGGCCGCGGCCTGGACTCGGTGGTGCACGCACACCCACGGCCAGGAAACAGAAGAATGGCAAATTGATGTCAAATGTGACACGACTTTATTCGTGGTAAGAACTGCCACAGTGTAACCGCCTGGTTTCCCATTCCTTATTTTTCGAGATGAACACTATGCAAAATGAGGGAACTCCTTGGGGAACGGGACGACCACTTCGCATCTCCGGTCATTTTTACGTTTTCAGGCCGTAAGACTCCTGGCCGCGTCGTGCTAGAATGTGCTTACGCCGTTTGAAATCTGACGACACGCATTCTAACCTCTGCTAGACTCTGTCGCCCATCTTCAGCTGTGTTCAGGGATGGCGCTACACCACGCCACCTCCTCGGGGCTACCTTCTTCTTGTTCCTCTTATCCGACAGCTTCCTCAGTGGAGTGTGTATGTATGTGTGTGTGTGTGTGTGCGCGCGCGTGTGTCGGTCAGTCTGGGGATTGTCCGGAAAGTAAGTAGTCCGATATCCGCAGATTGCAGGAGCTCGGCGCCTGCGAGACTCGGGGTAGGCCAGCCCGCAGTACACGCATGCGCTGCAGGCGAGGTAATGCCTACCCATCAGGCGCCTCGAGAGCTTGCTGGCACACACAGACTGGACGGGGCAGTCTCGTAACGGCGAATGACGGACGCACTCTCAAAGGGTGCCTCTTTTTTCTAATACGTGACGTCCATGAGCCATAGCCATTTCTACCGCCCCCCTCCTCCTCCTAGCTCAAGTAAAAGTGCTCCAGCCGCTCTAAGTCCAGGCCCTAGGTATCAGTTCAAGTTCAAGCAGTGAAATATAAAAGAAGCATTTAGATCAACATTCTTTACGGAAAATGTTCCTTTATTAACGAGGTAGAAAAAATAAACACCTTTAAAATAGAACAGTAAACGACAAACTATTCGTGCCCACGAATGGGGCTACACATAGAAATATATGACGTTTTCTTATCAATCTTCCTATTTAAAATTAATTAACCATTATTTTATAAACATATTACTATTCAGTCTTGTGGCCGCGCTGGTTTTGACTGGTCTCCCTGATCTTGCGGTGCACCGCAAAGCTGCGCTTCCCTAAAAGGCTTCCCAGGTCCCACAATCGAGGCATTGTATGTCCGTCTCGGGCAGCTCTTCTTGCAGACTGCGGAGGACCGAAGCGCAATCGGTCTTGTCGTGGGGGTAAAACAGACCCCACTTGAGCACGAGCTTTCTCAGCTTGTGCAGCTCCAGCTTGTAGACGAGGCTGAGCAGCGTGTTGCAGCAAGTCTCCCACCTCTGCAGCGCCACCGGCGCCGTGTTGACCCAGAGCTGGAGCTCTTCCAGCGCGTCCGACAAGGGCGGGGTGTAGGCGGTCAGCAGCCTCCGCAGCGCCTCGTCCTGCAGGTCGCGCACCCTGAGCCACCGCAGCTGCTTGCGCGAGAGTGAGATGAGCGGTATGTGGCCCCTGATCGCATCGAAGCCGCGCACGGACAGCCTCCCGAGGTGCGGCATGCCCTCCACGGCGCTCAAGTGATCGGCGTTGGGGTTCACCAGACTCAGCTCGACGAGGGAGGGCGCGGCGACCTGCAGCAGGTAGAGGCTCGTCTCGGGGTGCAGGTCACACCGCACACCTACCAGCCGTTCCACCTGCAGGAGAACAGATGGTGACTGCTAGAGGCTGTGCCCAACGCGACCTGAACGGAGATGCAAATATTATAGGGGCCCCTAAAAAAAATCAGGCTGGTCACTGGACTTCATACCGACCCAATGGCATTTGTACAGTACCTCGTGGTGCAACCGTCATGGGGCTCTAAATGACTCCCAAGACCAGCCTGATGCTTTTGGGGCCCCATAATATTATGCCCCCCCCCTCCCTCACGTTGGTTTGACAGGCCCGATCAACAGGCCGCCTGGTAGAAGGTTAGAGACGGGGATATGGACTCACCCCACGAATTTCCCTGAGGGCTGCTCTATCATGGAGGCGGATGCTCTCGAAATGCACTTCACGCAAGGCTGCACCTTTTGTCTGCGCGTGTCCGTTTTTGCCCGGTGAAATGTCCTTACTGGCTGCACCATTATGGGGGGAGGGGGTGCTGTCAAGGTGCACTGGTACGGCTGCGTCTTTTGGCTGATTACGTTTACGTTCCTTTTTGACCTGCGAAATGACGATGTTGTCGATTAATCGTACGAATAAAGAGGAGCTCCTATATTTCTACCCTGGGTACCCGATTCATACCCGGAGGAATCGGATACCGAATGCGAGTGTTTACGTTGAGAGCCCTACAGCAAATAATAAAAACGAGTCCGTTAAGTTTTAAAGCGCCACTTGAAAAAGTAACCTTTTGCTTCGGTGACTGATCCGTTGCCGGCGTTGCCCCGTCGGCGACCAAGAGCGCCTTAATCAGGGGATCCCCGCTGTTGGGCAGGTCCTTGGACAGCAGCACGCCGTCCGCGCCCCGCAGGGTCAAGGTCAAGGGCTTGCGGCAGAGACCATGCAGGCTTTCCAGCAACTGCATCACCGACATGTTGTTGGGCTGCCATTTCGCGAGGCCCTCGAATTCCTGCGATCGGTAAAGTTTGAGTCAAGAGCCGCATCCGACCGACCGCGGAGACCGGCTCGCGTGCAGTAACGTTGCTTCAACGCTATTTTTACCTCAAAAAAATACAAGGAAAATTGTATTTAACTTAAGGCAAATGACGTTAAAATAAAGTAAAAATTTCCTTAGATCAACTAAATTTCCTTGAAATTAATGGAAAAACCTTAAACCAAGTTCGAAAATTACCTTGTATTTTTTTTTTCAAGAAAATTCCTTGGTTTAAGGATACCATTTTCTGAATGTATAACCCCAAAGAGACCGCGAGCTGCTTGCAGGTCAGAGTCGATGAGGGACGATCCCTCCCTGTCTCCTCTCCTCACCGAGTAAGTTAACAAAGTGTTTCTATTGCTTTTTTCGCAGACAAGGACCTTACCTGCTGGCAGGTCGGGCATTTCTGTTGCGACTGCCACAGACACTTGAGGCATGCGGGGTGCGCACACGGGATGACTATTTTCGGGTACCGGTTACTCGTGTTGTACTCCTTGAAGCATTCGGGGCATTGCATGACGTCCGTGTGACCGGTACTCGGCGCCGACTGGGACTGGGATAGACGACAGACCACAAAGAGAACACATCATCAGATAGGCAGCTCCGACCTGATAAACCAAGTGCACAGTTACAACCTTACGAAGCAAAATGCCAAATCATTCGTAGTGACGAAGCAAATGCTTCGTACCTACGAAGGATTTGGCATTTTGCTTCGTAATGTGTTAACAGTGTGTGCAACTACTTTACTATTAGCACTTGTAAAGCGTGCAACTGCAGGTTTTAATCAGTTTGCGCAGTTTGCAAACTTGGTTGTCCGCGCAGGAACCACATACCGGCGCGGCCCTGGTTTTGAGAGTCAAAAAGGATAATTATCAATCTGTTAAATCTGCGCATGAAACTACCTTTTGCAGCTGACCCCGCGCCGCCACAGAAACCAAGAGAGCCTTAATCGACGGGGTCCTGATGTTGGATAGGTCATGGGACACCAGCAGGCGGTCCCCACACCGGAGGGTGAAGCTCAATGTCCCGCTGCTGAGGCCCTGGAGATTGTCCAGCAACTGCACCACCGAAATGTTGTTGGGTGGTGAGACGCTGAGGCGTGTCTGCGACTGCACAAGAAAGTTTGAATCATTTTTATTTTCCTGACGAAAGTGACAAAGTTGATTATAAGCAGCTGTTAGCTTCGCATCAGATTTCTTCGGCTGTATTTGTACTACATCCATCTGTCGGCACTGTATCACTGTGAAAAATAGTAGGTAGGTTTACAGGAAAATTTTCCTTAGTTTCCAAGTTGTAAAATTACAATTTGAAATCGTAAAAATACATGCAGTACGTTTCGACTTACAATCCATTGGCGAGTAAAAATTGTGCTCTGGTAAATTTACAACTTAAATAATCATTCGAGTTTACAAAAATTTTGTAAATTTACGACGATATTTTTCACAGCGTATTTTGTACCGAAACCGCTAAAGTCGATTAGCAAAGATTTGTGTGTTATTCTCGCGTTCACAAAGACTCACCCGCTCGCACGTCGGGCACTTCCACTTCCGCGCCGTGAGCAGTGGCACACACCAGAGGCAAATGGGGTGTGCGCACGGGATCACTAGTTTGGGGAAATGCTGAGCTTTGTCGTACTCCTTGCGGCATTTAGGGCATTTCAAGGCATCCATGGTGTGACTGGCTCTCGGCGGCGCCGACTGCGGTACAGACAAGAGAACATGGTGTCAGATTGGCAGTTGGGTCAAAATTTCACTACGGGGTGGAGAGAGGGGGGGGGGGGTGGCCTAATAGTACCCCAACTGTGCCGGGGTTTGCCCAGTTAAAATCCCTACATTGAAGGTCTCTAGTCGTGATGCTGACGGTTTACGATTTTCCTTAGTAGGTCTTCCATGAATCAAGACACTTAAAGTAAGAAGACAGTACCTTTGTTTAATTTTGACCTATTGCGTAGGGTTTGGCTTACTTCACGTTCCTCTCTACTAAATTCATGACTTTTAGAGACGGAGCATGGAATGGTAAAACTCTAATCTGTCTCAATATCATGGGGAAGAGCTAGCTTTGCTCCAGATTATATGTGTCCTCACTTATAAAAAATAAAAAATTACTGGGAATTTTGAAACCCATATAACTACTGCAAAAATCTCAAATTTTAATTTTGTTATTATTGTTTGGTTTTTTTTTTGTGTGTGAAAATTCTTTGGAACAGAAGGGTTGGACAGACTATTCTCTCCCACGTCCCCACTCTTTCATAGACATACTTACTTTCAGCCCCTTGGCCCCTGACACTGGGTAGGGTAGGCCATCCCGTCATACATATGTGTATACACTGTCGGTTGTTGCCTACCCACCAGGCGTCTGACCTGTCACTCAAATTTAAATCTTCCTTAAGTTCTTGTCTTTCTTCACAGAAACACATTTATTAGCCCTCTTTTACTGTAATGTCTTGAAATTTAAATAGCTAGAGGTTTATTTTCCACCACCAACCCTTGCCCCCTGATGTCTGAACCAATATAATCTACAGGATACAAGAAATTATGTCTCAAATGAAATAGTAAGACTGTAGCACAACTGGGGTAAAAGTTTAGTAAATACTACAATTTTCTATGTGACCGAGTCGCTGGGAGTTTAAAAGTTAGTATTGTCGGGTGGTGGAGGTGGAATAGGATTTTCCAGCAATTGGATGTCTACTTGATGTGGAAGTACTAGTAATGACTAAAATTTACCGTTGTATGTGAATTCAGGGTCAAATTCTTCAACTAATGTAATTAACGAACACTATAAATAGCTGGAAAGGACAAATGACAAAGGACAAAAGGAGTGTCGGAAAAAAATTGAAAAAATTGCGGCATGTAAGCCTTACAAATATGTGCCTTTAAGCAAAGTCTCATGAAGATCATTGGACCAGCTAAATAAAAAAGTTGAGATTTAAAATATTTCCAAAGGTTTATTGAAGTTTTTG